GCCGGAGACCGCCCATAAGAGAATTTGGGTCGCTCGGCTCATTCACACCTGAAGGTCTCCCAACCTATGCATTTCTCAAATCCCAATATAACAAAATGCATCGGCCCCTTTACCATATGCAAACAATGGTGCTAGTTTTTCCTAACTTAGTCTATGTTGGTCAACTCACTGAACAAGGATGTTCTGTTTTGTTTACACCATCTGGGTGCTCCATACAAGATTTGAAGACGGGAAGGCAGCAGATCGAAAAGGAGAATAAGCAGGGATCATTTTTCACTTGGAGGAGCTTCATCAACCCCCAGCATCATCGATTGTCAGTACTCGCTCTGTTAGGAGTGTCAGTAGTCCCTTTCAGTCATCTTGTCTTTGTACTAGTCCTCTGTCAGCCGATTTTTCTCGTCAGTCAGATAATATTTGGCATTCAAGGTTAGGACATCCTTATTCTGATCGTCTTGAAAAAATGTTCAAACTAACTTTACTTGGTAAAAATAATATTGGCATTTCGACACAACATTCATGTGCTAGTTGTGTTGAAGTCAAAACTATTAGCACCTTTTTTCCTTCTAGTACTAATATTATAATTGATCATTTACACATTATTCATACGCATCTTTGGGGTCCTACACCTGCTATTTCTTGACGTGGATATCATTATTTTTCCCTTTTATTTATTATGCCACTTGATTCACTTGGATTTAATTTCTTCGATTAAAATCTGAAGTTCTAACTTCTATGAGTCTGATTCCTCGCCCTCCATCTTTCCATCTAGATCTCTATCCTTACCAATTTTTATGACAGTGACTGTGATGATCTGCTCGTCCGCCCCCGCAATGACCCGACTCTAGCCTCACCACATGGTTCGTCGCCTACCACTTCAACTTCTTCTCATGGTTCTACGACTTCTCTTGCCTCCCCGGTTCCTGCTGGATCGGGCATTTGGTTGATGCTCCTTCTCTTTTTCAGATGCATTGCTCCACTCAAGGTATCCCTCCTCGGTTTCATGATTATGTGGCTCATGGTGTTGATTTTATACTGGTTCTGACTCGTTATAAACAAGCTAAAGGGAATCCTTTGTGCTAGCAAGCTATGCGCCGTGATTTAGCTGCTCTACATGCTAACAATACATGGACCTTAGTCCCTCGCCCTTCTGCGTCTACTTCAGTTATTGATTGTCGCTGGGTCTACACTATGAAGAATGAATCACAATGGTATTGTGGATCATTACAAAACAAGTCTTGTTGCACATGTGTTTACTCATGAACTCGGGGTGGATTATACAGAGACATTTGCTCTGGTGGCTAAAATATCCACTGTTTTTACCTTGCTTCCTATTGCCGCTGGTCAGAAATGGACGTTAATTTCAGTTGGATGTCAAGAATTCCCTCCTCCACAAAGATTTGGAAGAAGTCATCTATATGGAACAACCACCTGGTTATACTCTTGGTACTTCATATCATGTCTATTGTCTTCATCGGTCTCCTTACGTTCTTAAGCATACTCCTCGGGCATGGTTCGAGAAGTTTCACTCTACCATCTCTGTCTTTGGGTTCTCTCGGAGTCTGCACGACCCATCACTTTTTACCAAGCACACGTCTGTTGGTATTGTTGTCCTGCTTCTTTATGTTGATGATATGGTTATTACTTGTACTAATCTTCAGGGGATTTGCACTCTTAAAGAGGGTCTTCAACCTTCTTACAGTCTCAAGGATCTCGAAGATCTATCCTACTTTCTTGGCCTAGAAGTTACCTGGAATCCTCATGGGCTCCTTCTTAGCCAACGGAAGTACATCTCTAGCCTTCTCAGTGATCATCATTTCGAAGACTGCCAACCGATATCTACTCCTTTGGAACTCAACCTTAAATTGGTTTGCATCTCGGGTGATCGTTTACTCATGGTACAGTCTATTGTAGTATAGTGGGAAGTCTCACATACTTGTCTGCCATGTGCCCTGATATCTCTTACGCGGTCCAGTTGGTCAGTAAGTTTACGACAACTCCTCGCACTTCTCATCTTGATGTTGTTTATTGGATCCTTCAGTACTTACAGGGGACACGTGATGTCGATTATTTCTTCCCTTCTTCTGGTATACTCTGCGTTAAATGCTTATTCTTATTTAGAGTTCGTAGAGTGTCTTGATACCCCATCGTTCCACCTCTGGCTGGTGTGTTCAGCTTGGTGATGCCTTTATCTTCTGAAATTGTAAGAAATAGGACAAGGTATATAAGTCTTCCACCGAGATCGAGTATTGCTCTATGTCTATGTCCGTGACAAGTGGTATCAGATCCTGGTTACGCTGAAGAGTCTAGTTCCTCTGTCAGTACGGAATAGGTCGAGTATGGGCCGAACCTATACCCGAATGAGAGGCGGTCCTGGGTGTGCATATCAGGCGGTCCGGACGCAGATACACATGTGTTGCGCCATTGTGAAGGACCTTGACAGGTTGAAAAAGCAGTGTCCGAGAATTTCGTTCAACTGAGGAACTAACGCTAGCGAGAGCGTAGGGTGAAGGTCGATTGAGGTACAAACGCTGGGAGTAGCGTAGGGTGAAGGTCGACTGAGGTATTAGGGCAGTAGAAGCGAAGAGTGAAGGTTGATGTCGAGGGGGCGAAGCGGTATGTGCTTGGGGCACAACAGACTAAGACAAGAGACGCGACCGGCCCGTCCATCAGAGGATGGTATCGTATGCGGACGCCCACAATCGGTTCGAGTGTTGCAATACATGCTGCGGAGAGAAGCATTCTTCACCAGCACGAGGACGTGCTGCATTATGAGTGGTGGAGAATATCACGACCCGAAATGTCATGACCGTGTAGATCGTCTGAAGAACGCTGCCATCTGGTTGTCTTGCCACAAGAGGGGTAAAGGGGGCGACATTAGCGATAAGGCGTTGTCTGCCTGTGCATCATTTCTGGCCGAGTCAGGATGTAGCTATGAAGCGGATCATTGCAAGAGAAGGCACAACTGGTCGGAGGCTATTGTCGTCTCTCTGATAAGCCCAAGGCAGGGAGAAACCAGTTGGCATGTGTATGCGGAGAAGCTGGTCTTGAGGAATGAGTGCACCTCAAGACGCCGCACGGACTTTGGAAGTCTATGTCCGTGACAAGTGGTATCAGAGCCTGGTTAGGCTGAAGAGCCTAGTTCCTCTGTCAGTACGTCATAGGTCGAGTATGGGCCGAACCTATGCCCGAATGAATGCGGTCCTGGGTGTGCATATCAGGTGGTCCGGACGCAGATGCACATATGTTGCGCCTTTGTGGGGGACCTCGACAGGCTGAAGATGCAGCGACCGAGAATGTCGTTCAACCGAGGAACTAACGCTAGCGAGAGCGTAGGGTGAAGGTCGATTGAGGTACAAACGTTGGGTGTAGCGTAGGGTGAAGTCGACTGAGCTACTAGCGTAGTAGAAACGAAGAGTGAAGGTTGATGTCAAGGGGCGAAGTGGTATGTGCGCGGGGCACAGCAGGCTAGCGCGAGAGACGTGACCGGAGCCTGTCCATCAGAGGATGGTATCGGTCCGAGAATATCATTCAACTGAGGAACTAACGTTAGCGAGAGCGTAGGGTGAAGGTCGATTGAGGTAAAAACGCTGGGAGTAGCGTAGGGTGAAGGTCTACTGAGGTACTAGCGCAGCAGAAGTGAAGAGTGAAGGTTGATGTCGAGGGGTGAAGTGGTATGTGCGCAGGGCACAGTAGGCTAGCGCAAGAGACGCGACCGGAGTCTGTCCATCAGAGGATGGTATCGTATGCGAATGTTGTCTCCGAATTGGTTTGGTTGCTTCGTCTCCTCACTGATTTGGATATCACTTTTGTTGTACCAATGGAGCTCTTTGTTGACAACGCTAGTGCTATTCGTATTGCAATCAACTATGTTGTCCATGATCGTTTGAAGCATATTGAGATATTATGTCCGGAATCTGGTCCGTGATGGTACTATTTCGGAACACTACATTCGTACAGATCACCAGATTGCCGATCTTCTTACTAAGGCCTTGTCCTCTAACCGACATTGATATTTGTCTAGGGAATTGATGCTCTGTGATCCGCATCAACTGGGGGAGGCTGTAAGCATATATAGGCCATGCAGAATTGTACATACTTTCATTATAGCCCATTTAATTGAAAAATTGTACATATATAGCCCATTACAGTTGCAGAGCTGTGTTAATGGTAGGAGAGGCTATAGTCCCCTCCACCTCGCCAGTTCGAATTCTCCCGTGTATAATTTTAGCCCCCTCCACTCAAATTTATGGCTCCGCCACTGCATATGTAACCCCTAGGTAGGTGTGTGTAGGTTTCATCCAAATTGGATTCTCCCTGCTTCTTCCTCCAACTCGGAAACCTAATAACGTCAGTAGCCTGAAGAGTTCTAACCCTTCCGTGGATTAGTCCTTGCATTCTCGGGATACCACGTAAACTCGGATTGTTCATTTGTCTGTTTATTTATTCAGTTCCGTATTGATTAAGAGTAAAAGTCGAGTCTATGGCTGATTCCAATGTACTTATGTTCAAGTTTTTCATTTTCAATAAAAATGATCATATTGCAAGTATATCGAGCTATCATTTCACGACACAAACTGTAAACAGAAGATGTGAAAACAGAAACAAGAACGGACAAACAATTAAAATGGAACAAGACACGCAATTTCTTATATGGTTTTCAGTTTAGGAAGAATAAGAATTTTAACACTAAGTACTCCATGATTCGAGTGTGATATCGAAAGTTTCCATAATGATTTTAGCATTGAAGTTCAATCAATGTTAGCCTTTGTCATCCCATATGCCCGCATCAACTCACCTGAAAAAGGAAGTCACATGAATTAGATTAGGAGGATCCAAAATGCCTAGCAACGAATTAATCAAACGGAGATAATAATGAGAAAACCTTGGGCGCAGGAAACTCCTCGCGCTCGCCCCTACCACGACGAGACGAAACGGCCACCACCTAACCGTTAACTACTTTGCTTTGCATTACAAACCTGTTTTTCCTATATATTCATTCATCTTAATTGATGCCCTTCCATCCGTTGCTCTCTCCAGTCATTCACGCTCTTTCTTTTCTTCCTCCTAAATCTTCTCTCCCACTCGACAATGGCGGCTGCTTCTACTTCATCATTCATCCCCCTCAAGCCTCGCCCAACTCCGCGGGTAAACCGAGCGATACATTTCCCTCTGCTCACTTTACTCATTCAGTACCCAACTGCGGAATTCAGTTTGATCTCTTAGATTCGCGGTTGAGAGAGCATCACATTTGATTGGATTTTGAGTTTTCTCAGGGGTTGTCGACGATCGCCGTCCTAAAATTGGGAGCTCCTCTGTCATTCAGCTTCCGCCGCCCTGTTCTGGCGCCTGCTCGCCTCCGGATCTCCTGCGTCGTGAGTCCTCTCCTTGAATTTTTTGATAGGATTTGTTCGAGAGATAAGGTACATTCTGTTGATATTCCTGCTGAAGTGGCTGTGTTTTAAGCAGGCGAAGCCAGAGACGGTGGAGAAGGTTGCCAAGGTCGTGAAGAAACAGCTTGCACTGCCTGCGGAGACTCTGGTGACCGGCGACTCCAAGTTCGCTGCACTCGGTGCCGATTCTCTCGACACAGTAAGCAGAAATTTTTTTCTGGTCTCCATCCCTGTTGTTAGGTATCTCTTCCCTATTTTGCGTTGCATGCGATGACGACCCCATTGGTTTGCTGCCTTTCAATCAGGTTGAAATTGTAATGGGCCTAGAAGAGGAATTCGATATCAGCGTCGAGGAGGACAGCGCGCAGTCGATAGCGACAGTTCAGGATGCAGCTGATCTCATCGAGGAACTGGTTCGGAAGAAGTGCGCTTGAAAAAGCTTAAGAAAGAAGAAATGAATGAATGATCCTCCTATTTCTCTCTAGTGCAGTTTCATGCTTGTTATCTCTGTAAGATGGAAGAAATGTGCTCTTTGGCTTGTGTGTTCTTTTCACCTCTTTCTTCCTCTCATGTAATAGAACACACTGTTTTAGTGTGTGAAATTTTCATGGCATCTAAATGTGAAAAAAGAAAATGCGGTTGCTTGTTAACTAGCATATCCAAAGATTTCTGCAAGCTCATCCTCGGACAAAGTATCCAAAGTTGGGGCATTTTTTGGATGCACAGAAGCTAGAAAGAGCCTGATGGGGGGAAGAAGGCTACATTTTATATGTGAAAGCGTAAATGAAATGAAACGTGCTTTCAAGTTATGTGGACCTTACGGTTCTTCTTACCCTACTTCGTTAAAAGGAAGTTAATTATGTACAGTGTGGTTGCGGGAGTTTTGATCAGAAGCTCTTCATTACACATAAATTTATTCCCAATCAGCATCGAAGAAGCCGGCATCTTTCATTTCTGAGTAGTACACATTCTCCAGATGCAAATCTTCCTCCTGCAGCAAAGCCATGCAAAATATTGAACAAAGACGGATTATGCAAACTGTTGTATCTAGATGCCGAATGGAAACAAGAGAACCAAAGGATAGGGAAGTAACCTGGAAAAAGTCTGCCAGAAAGGTTATATATATCAGAGGGAGGTAGAAGGCATGGTATGAGACTATGGTGGTGCTATACAGCCTGCATGTGCGTCGATAAGAAATTATAAGAGGGGGATCACAGTAAGAAGAGTAAGTTAAGAGTTGTTGAGGGGATCCGTGACAGAATAATTACCAGTAACCGAAACCAGATCCGCTTCCACTAATCCCACAGGCGAAGAGTGCCAGAGTGTTCAACGCAAACATTATCACGATGTATTTGTAGAATGCAGGTCTTGCTGCAAGAAAGGAATTTTTTAGGTAACTTCATGATAAAGAACACCGAGCAATCTTTCAGCCTTTTTCCACTCTGCTTATTCAATATGCATGACATGACATGAACTTACCAGGCAACCTTTCCCTCCACTTGGAATGATACATGAAAAGGATGAAGCCGTAAACTGCAGTAAGAACTAGCCGATGGACAGCCCACAGGCCCCACTTCATACGATTAGAGTCCTCGCCAATGTCGATAAACAAGGGAATCCCGAACCCAAACAAGTAAAGTGCCTGAAACAAAACAATCTTCTTGTTGATAAGCAGAGTAAAAAGGACTTTGAATGCTCGGTTGAACCAATACAGATACCTACCTTGAGAAGTATGTCTAACCCAACTACAATTGCAGAGACAGCGAAGGTCTTTGTCATTGCATCCAGCCCACTCACGTAATTGCCTTCGAGTAAAAAGGCAATTAAGCTAACTTCCAAAAAAAGCATTCCAGATGTTGTAAACAGAGATAGCACATTCCATGTTTGTTCTTTTCCAGGAGTGCATTCCAATGCCTGCAAAAAAAAAAAACCAAGCAATAAAAAGATACTAAGCTGAGTCCTGTGAACAGAGACAAATATCATAAACTGTGGGATCATTCTAAGTTTTCACCAGCCATCAATTTCCCCATTTCGTTAACAGTTTGAGATCCACCTGCACCAATTATCACCTAAGACCACTGTACTCAAAGTAAGCTCAACCCTGCTATCCATAAGCTTTCTAATCCTAGCTAACAAGCACAAAGAAGGAAAGTTTCGAACTTAACTAGACAATGGATGAAAACAAAACCTGTAAGAGGGACCAACAGAGGTTGAGCAAGCTGACGAGCCAGAGACTACCGTAGTAAGCAACCATTATATGTGATCTCCCATTCGAGAGCTTGGTGAAGCTCTTCCTGGCCTGGAATGCGAGGTAGAGCACGAAACCTAAGGAAGCTAGAATCAGAGTGACGTTGTGCAAAAATCCGTGGCACTCGAACAGCCAATTGAACAACCCTGGAGCGCCGGTGTTGAAAACCTCGCCATGGGTGAGAGTTGAATTAGGGTTTTGGGGAAGAACCGAGATTGATAATTGAGAACCAGTGCCAGGGACTTCTTCCCCGAGATAGCGCATCTCTTTTACACGGCTGGCGGGGAAGGACCCAAAGAATTGGTTTTGGTCGCTGGGAAGATTGCGAATAATGATTTGGTTTTTGATTGACCGCACAAGGAAGAAGGAAGACACAGAGAGCTTCTGGTTTAGAAGTTGTGACGACGACGAAAGAAGAAAATAATGCGATTGATGAGGGGTAATTATCATAAATGGTCATAAACCTATTCACTTTGTACAAAACGGTTACAATCCTTTAATTTTGCACGTTTTGGTAAAATAAGTTTGAGTGAATAACGAATTGGTCAATCCGTCCACTTCCGTCCAAAACTCCGTTATCTTTTGCCCAGTCAGCATGACATGTCATTAAAAATATTAATAAAAAAATAAATTAATCATCCTAATTAACACCACACAACCCAACCGGCCGGACCCAAAGTCTTCCCTTTTCCTTCATCTTCTACTTCGATATTCTCCACCGCCCTGTAAATCGCCATTGCTGATGACGAATCCAGCGATAGCGACCGCCTCAACCCCTGCAAATCCCCTGCCCCTTCTCTCCCTCGTTCGAACACATCGCTTGGAACCTTACCCACGAAAGACTGCTCCTTAATAATACCATCAATCTCTTTGAATGATCTGAAAGGTCCGGTTCATTGCTACTATTGTCACCACTCACCACTACCAAGACTCACTTCACCCTCTCGCTCCTCCTCCGGTGCGGTCATTAGAGTTGTAGGTTCCAAATTCTCTACTGTAGAATTTTCCCCGGAATTGAGATTCATCGATGACCCTACAACAACAGCTTGAACAACAACAGCTCTGGAATTCGCATCGGCGGCAACGATCGGGGCGCTGCAGAGTGGGCAATTTTTGTGATCGCCTTCTTCAAACTCGCTTAGGCAAACAGAGCAGTCTGTATTGGAACACCGGGATTGATTCCATTTTCGAGTGTTCCAATCCAACCCCACGGTGTGGATGTACCAAATCGGCTGATCAATCACAGGGCCATGATATTTCGCGATGAAATCGTCCTGTGTAGCAAAATAGTCGACGGATCCCGCCGCCGCCAACTGAAGCTCAGATTCCTGCGCTGCCGCCTCGGTCTCCAGATTCGAAGAACTAAACAGAAGATTCCTATGGCTATAAGCAGAACGAAGCCGATCATCGCCCCCGCGACAGTCATGCTCGTGACCAGCAGATTCTTCCGGTTGAAGTGCCCTCCGGTCGGAATCAGGGAGGGATTGACGGGGAACTTGGTGGGCGGCGCGAAAGAGGCGGCAGAAAGATTAAGGTAGAAGTTGTCATCGTTATCTTCTAGTCCGATCGCCCCTCTCTCCCGCAAGTCGCTGACTTTCTCCAATTCGAGAAGGGTGGGTATTATGATACGGCCGGTTGGGTTGTGTGGGTCAATTGGGTGATGAACTAATTTTTTATTAAAATTTTCAATGACATGTCATAGTGACTGGACAAAGGATAACGGAGTTTTGGACGGAAGTAGACGGATTGACCAATTCGTTATTCACTCAAACTTTTTTTACCAAAACGTGCAAAATTAAAGAATTGTTACCGTTTTGTACAAAGTGAATAGATTTATTACCATTTATGATAATTACCCGATTGATGAGAGAACGATTAACTAAAGAGAAAAAACCAATGTTCTCGTAAGTCGTAACAAGCCGGTGCATTACCCTGTAATTTAAACGACTCGCATTGTAATGATTCTAGAACTCGCAAATTACAACCCGACCTGTTGATCCAATTCGAAACCGACCAAAAACTAGAAATTTTTGTAACCCGAAATCCGAATGACCCGAATCCGATAACTCATAATTTTTTGGGTAAGGTGGGTTACTGGGTCGACCCATTAGACTCGTTCCATTTTATATATCACTCCCAAAATGATAAAATCACTCATAAATCGGTGAGATGTTTAAAAAAAACACAATGATTTGAATGACATGTTTGGAGTTTAAGGATAATCAAATATCATGTGTTTCTTGTAGTAGTAGTATTACTCTTCTGATTGTTTTTGGATGATTTGCGCAATTTGTATTTCATTTTATGTCAGCATGGGAGGATTTGAGAATATGTTAATTGACATGTGTTAGGTAAACTATTGTCATGCATATGTGAAAATTTGTGTTCTTTAAGAAAATATGAAACATGTTTGATATTGTTTGTGAGAACGCTCATAACCCGAAATGACCTGTAACCCGACCCGAAACCGAATGGGTTGGGTCAATATTTAACCCGAAATCAGCCAATCAAATATGACCCGACCCGTAACCGAAATTCCCAACTCGAAATTACCCAACCCGACCCGATTGCCAGGTCTAAATGGTTCAATTGGTATTGGGCTATTAAAAAACGGTTAAAGAACCAATACCTTATAATTAATATGATAACATAAAGTAAAAAGACACATAAAATATCTATTTAATAATTAAAATGAAATTTAATTTGCAAGTACCATTTAGTAATTTCACATTATATATATGGTGTCTTTTATATATATATATATATATATGGTTCAGACTAGCGTACGCGTGACGTACGCTATATACCTGTGTTCACACCCATTAATTAATATTAATTAAGTTTAAATTAATTATCAATAGCAATCGTAATTACAACAAGATCCATTATTTTATTATTTTATACAATATAGTTATTTTATTATTTTATACTATATAGTCCCATGAACCTTCCTAATTTAAAGATTCAGCATCCCCAAATTGGAACTCCCTCGCTCTTCGCTACCTACAATGGCTTGGAATAAAAACATGAAAAGAAAGATCTGCAGATCAGTATTAATGTCTTGTAATAAACGGATTAGTGTTCTTGACTTCTCGGTCTTCTTTAATGGTTCACTCATCTCGACGCCCAAATCGTTGCAGAGCGGAGCCCGTTAGCTCTCGATGACGGCCGAGTAGAAGACGTCGATCCAATTAAGGCAACATGCATCTGAATCCTGTCCGTGGATACCGTCGTGTAATCTATCAGAGTTTGTTGCAGATTCTACGAAGCTGAATTGGGAGGTAGGAACGGTCCTTTGCTTTGGACTCCCGTCGGCGATATGAGTGAGAATGGTGAAAGAGATTGATTTTGTGTTAATGGCGGGAACGATGAATTGGTCGAAATTTGGTAGTGATAGAGAATATCCGGGGTTGGATCCATCATTCTAGACTCTAGTCTTCTCGATGGCACCACCGCGAGGATATCTGGGGTAGGAGTTGTCGTTGTTGGCGATGAGGGTGGTCGAGGTGACACATGTTGTTCTAAGAGACGGCCTGTTATCCTTTTACAATGCAATTAAGAGTGAGCTTTGATTAAACGTAAAACAATTGCCTGAAAATGCACGGGTGTGTTTGGTTGTCTTTGATTGCATGGTGATTGGTGAATACTAAATAGTGTTAGTGAATTGGATTTTGCGGACTACTGCATAACAAAGGGTAAAAATCATTGGAGTGTTAAAGCGTAAACAACAACTAATTAATGGGGTGGGTTGTAATTATGATTATTAGTATTAATATATTTGGTAATTAATTATTAAGTGTGAACACAAGCGTATGGCGTACATCAGATGTACGTCAGCCTTATATATATATAAAACGCTACACGCCTACATCCCTCACCCACCTAAGCCACCGCCCTCTCCTGGTCTCACAACCCTCTCAAATCTCATCAAAACCTCCCTCCTTGTCTTCTCTATTTGGAATTCACAGAAAACTCCATCAATCGAACCTCCACAAGAACAAAGCTTCCCCTACGCGCTAATCCATCTTATCAAATCTCCATCGCCGGAAGCTCTCGCCTTCCTATTCCGCTCCTGTCATCAGTGTTTTTCTTTCTTCCCATTGGTCATCTTCCTCATTGTGTGCGCAGTTCTCTGACGACGGAGCAGATCAGTCCACTTGATGGATCGAACTTCGAAGCAAATAAAACGAACAAGTGTGCTGACTGACCCATCTGTGATTTTTGGTTGTCCGATTTGGGGGAGTTTTCATCTTTTTTTCCTTTCACAACGCGACAGGCAAAGGTGTGGTTCTCGTTGTTGGGACTATTGATACGAACCGGTTGGTCGGTTCGAATGGTTCGAATGGTTAGCCGTTCTGACCATTCAAAAACCACCCTTTCTGACCGTAGCGACTTTTAGAGTGTTCCGAGCCGACCTGATGATCGGGTGGCGGTTTTAACGGTCTAACCGATCTGCTCGGTTTGGCTTTAACAACACTGGAAAAAACGGATGGCCAATATTAATTTTTTAAGGGCTAATTATCATCGGTATTGCTATTCGTCGCTCTAAAATTTCTTATTTCTCGCCCTAATTAAATTAAATTTACTTTAATATCCTTAGTTCATTTTATTTATCTTGCAAATAATTAAACTCAAAACAAACTTATATACTACACAAGATAACAAAATATAATCAAGAAACAACAACGAGCCAGAAGAAGAAACATAAACACAAGGGATGGATCTTGCCCCCAAAGAATTATGTGCCACTAGGTTAGTCTCATGTATTTTAAAAACCACTCCTTTCCTTGCATGTCTGGTTCATCCCTTAAAAATGTACTCGTCACGAATTTGTCTAAGTTCGCAATTCTGCCCACTGGAACCTAGGTGGTCCATTATTTTCAGAATATTTTTGCATAACCATCCCCAAGTTTCAAAATGATGACGATTACATCTAAACTTCCGCTCTTCCATAGGACGTGGGCAGTCCTCTCGTCTATTTTATCGAATTTTGGTCCTTTAAAGCTGTATAGGTTGTATGCAAGCCAAGAATCTTCATTCATCTCCACGTTTGGATCAATAGAATATGCAAGGCTGTGCTCAATCTCATTTTGGAAATGTTTGAGGACATTATATGTGTAGATCTTCTTAACCTGTTTGGTTAAAATGTTTTATGTGCAACGAATAGGAGGTGCTTCATTCACGAGTTGAAATTAGCACTCTTGTTGCCTTTCTCTTTTCCGGTCCAACAGTCTGTCGAAATGATAAAAAAAATTGAGAAATTGTGTGTTGACTTCAAGTGTATTTGTATTTTGTAGGGTGTTGTTGCATGATTCACTTAGTTGAGAACTCCTCATGCCGTTTGTCCTATGTTCTCTCAACCAAAGTGTAAACCATTTGTGTCTGCGTTGAATTTAAATTA